CCGGCTGGTGGGGCCACGACCCCGCGACGCGCTTCGCGATGCCGCCGCAGTTCGCGCGCATCCGCGGCGCGCAGGGCTTCCAGCAGTCGAACCCGTCCGTGCTCGCGACGGCCGCGCTGCTCGGCGCGCTGCAGGTGTTCGAGCGCGCGGGCGGGATGGGCCCCGTGCGCGCGCGCAGCGTGCGCATGACGGGCTACCTCGAGGCGCTCCTCCGCCAGTCGGCGTTCTGGGTGTCCGCGGGCGAGGGGATGCGGCCCGCGCGCAGGGTGGGCGTCGCGGTGATCACGCCGACGGAGCCTGCGGAGCGCGGCGCGCAGCTGTCGCTGCTGTTTCTGCCCACGGGCCGTGGTGTGATGCCGCGGGTGCTGGAGGGGCTGTCTGCGCACGGTGTCGTGGGCGACTCGAGGAAGCCGGACGTGATCAGGCTGGCACCGTGCGTGCTGTACAATACGTGGGAGGACGTAGAGCGAGCGGTGAGTGTGCTGGAGCAAGTGCTGGAGCAGATAGACAGCGAAGGGCTAGATGCATAATACGCGGGGCCTTTGATTAAGCTGGTTACACGGAGATAAGCCGTACGCCTACAATCGTATTTGTATCCGGGTTCTCTCAGTAAGCAAGGATGTGTGCACGCGTATGACAGAGATTAAGTGGGTATAGCATAAAAAAAAGAGTTCGACAGCGCCCGAACCACGGAGTGCTGTTGGCTCTAAAGTACAGAGCGTGCGTAATAGTACTCGGTCATGGACGAATCGTGAGCTAAGAACATCCAGACGCGCTGGTCTAGTATTTAAGAATAATGTACAGGGCGTGAATGATGCCGGGACTGCAAAAGAGAGGTCAGAAACGTCGCGGGGCAGGATAGCAGGGCGCATACATGTAACCGAGACATGTCTATGGGAAGGTGCCGGTTAGCATGGGTGTAGTCAAACAGTGGATCATGAGGCATACCAAAAGGATGTTGATGAGGAGGTCAGCACCGCACCCGCGCTCGAGGAATACTCCCACTGGTGGGAGGATGATTGCGAAACTGGGAGAGGATGTGAGTACGCGTCTCCTATACAGAGTTTGAGGGTACGAACATGATCTGGAGAAGAAGGTGAGGGAGGCTGGACTGGAGGAGGAGAGGAGAGAACGACGGACCTTGCAGATGTCTGAACCTGTGAATGGCATGGTGGGCTTGTGGAGGGAGGAGGAGGGGGGAGAAGGGCGGCAGCGTGAGTTTATAACGCTAAGGCGAGGCAGACGGGGGCATGACGTCAGCGAAACGCGATCCGAATACCGGGTTCGACCCCGCGACCTGTCTGAGCTCGCACCCGGACGGATGAAGACGTGCAGTGTCCTCCGCAGCTGGCTCGGCCGTCCAGCTCGTCGCTCTCCTCGGCCGCTTGCCCCACTCTCCTCCTCATCTCTGACCTCACCCGCTGTGGAGATGCTCATCGACTTTGAGGAGCTCCTCGCCGTTCCCTACGTCTCCCAGCCTACCGTCGCACACAATCCTCTCCATCAATTTGACCTCTATGTCCCCAAGTCCCCCTCCACCACCACGCAGGCCCCTCCCCTGATCTGCTTTGTCCACGGCGGCGCATGGCGATCGTAAGCACCCTCCCCCCTCGCACATCCGTCTCCACGCCCACTCCCCATCCCGCTACAGCGAAGACAAGGCCCAGCATGCCCAGCTCGCACGTCGCCTCGCTGCCCACACTCGCTTCCCCGTCGCCATCCCAAACTACCGTCTCTCCACGCCTGCCACGCCCCTCCGCCACCCTGCCCACGCCGAGGACCTCCTCGCCTTCCTCCACTTCGTCCTCACCTGGTCTGGTCCTCCGTCTTCGCCTTGCCCTTACGATCCCACACAGCTCTATCTCCTCGGACACAGCTGCTCCGCACATATGCTCACCTCCATCTTTCTCCAACCACCCGAATCCATCTCCGACCCGTCCCCCAGTCCCTCCCCGCCTTCCTCGCCCGCCGCCTCCGATCCTTCTTCGCCACCTCTGCCGCCCTCCCCCATCCCCACTCCCGCCGCCCTCTCACCCTCCCCCGCCCTACTCGCGTCCACACGCGCACTCGTCCTCTCCGAGGGCCTCTACGACTTTGACACCCTCCTCCGCGCATTCCCGGCGTACAAGTCCTGGTTCATCGCGCCCACCTTCGGCCGCCTGCGCTCCTACACCCCTTGGAACACCGCGTCCTACCGCCCCCGCCCCGGCGGCGCACACCTCCGCTGGCTCGTCCTCCACTCGCGCGGCGACACCTTGGTCCACCCCGAGCAGAGTGCCCTCATCTGGCGCCACCTCAAGGAACTGTACGCGGAGCCGCAGGACGGCGACGAACGGGGCACGGCGCGCATGGTGTGCCGCGACTGGGACACGCTTACGGAGGAGCACAACGATACGCTCGCCGGCGAGGTCTACCCGCGCCTCGTGGCCGATTTTGTCCGCGATGACGTCGCCTGGCGGGCATCAGACAAATGAACTGCGGCTGCGAGCAAGAGAGAAGCGCTATCCGGAAGAACATGTGAGACTCGACTCGAGGAGCACCCGTGGGGCCCCAGCTCCATGACCCGCACACAAATACCATAGAGCAGCCAGAAATATACAATTTAATACATTTTGCGGGGCCTGATGTGCGGATGGCTACAAATACCAGTCTTATGCAAGTCTAGTGTACGACAAAATTATGCCAGAATGTGTGTGCGCCACGGTAGTCGTCTGAATCCTCCATCTCTTCAGTCTTCCTCGTCTTCGCTGCTGGTTCCTGTGCTGCTACTGCTACTGCCAGGCCCATGCGCCCTCGCCCCCGGTTCCTCTTCGCTGCTGCTGCTGCTGTGTTCGCTCTTCTCGCCTTCGTGTTCTTCCTCGCTGCTGCCTTCTTCACTCTCCTCTTCGCTGTCCTCGCTCTCTGCATCATCCTGAGCAACTCTTGATGCCGGGGGCGCACTGCGCCCCACAGGGGCAGCGACCACAGTCGACTGGGAGCTGGCGGTTATCGTTGCACTAGGGGCTGCCGCCTTCTCGACTGTGCTCGGCGCTGCTTTCGTGGCGGCGGCATCACCTGTCGGAGTTGGCTTTTCTGAAGCATCCTTTGGAACGGAGGGGGTCGGTTTGGCTGGGGGTTTATGTTCCTCTTCTTCGCTCTCTTCCTCACTTTCTTCTTCGCTTTCTCCCTCACTTTCTTCGCCGTCTTCCCCACTCTCCTCCTTCTCCTTCCCTTTGACCTCTTCCTCGCTCTCGCTCTCCTTCCCCTTCCCCTGAACCTCTTCTTCCTCTTCGCTCTCCTCCTCGCTCTCACTCTCCTGCTCATCAAACTGCTCTATCATCCTCTTCCCGACCATCCAGCACTTCTCGACGCCCTCGCGTTGAGGGCCAGGCTTGAGATCCCCGCCCTTGGACGACGGACGCGCATGCCACGCCCTGATGTCGTCCTCTTCAACAATATCAGCCTGGTACAGTGCAGCCAGAATTTGGCCAAAGAGCGGCAGTCGGGCGGACTGCGCACAGTGCTCCTGCAAGTGACCCATGAGCGCCCAGTCTCATCGCGCACTCGACATATCCTCGCGTACCTGTAGAACCTCGACGGTCTCCACGGGATCGACACCACCGATCCGATCGATCAGGGCCCCCCACCGGTGCACCATCTTCGCAATGGCCGCCCGCTGTTTCGCCACGTCGCCCTCGACGACCTCGACCCGCTCGACGATGCCCGCGACGACCGCCTCCCGCACGCGCCGCAGCGGCACGTTGCTCGCCATCCGCAGCGTCTTCAGCTCGACGGCGGCGTTGTCCACGCTGTGGCCCTCCGCGAACGCCCGGTCGAGCGACTGCCGCACCTCCGAGCGGAACTCCGAGTCCGCGGCGGACGCGTGCAGACTGTGCAGCGCAGATGCGTCCGGCGCGAGCGAGGCAGAGGTCATCGACGACGTCCGGGAAAGGTGCAGGTCAGAGTCGGTGTCCGACTCTGACTCTGAATCGGATTCGGACTCGGTGACGGACCCGGCGTCGGATAGGTCGAGATCAGCGGCATCGTCGCCTGGAGAAGCATCAGCCATGGCCTCGCAGGCACGACGCGAACGAAGCCGCTCACCGATGCGCATCAGTCGCTGGTTGTTGTACGACTCGAAGGAGTCGTCCTCGTCCTCTTCTAGCGGTCGCTGTGGCCAGACCACGGCGTTCGAGCCCTCGCCCAAGATCGACGTCGTCGATTCCTGATCTGCAGAATGGGTAGGTGAGCGCCCCAAGGTCAGACACGATGGCTCAGCACGAACATGCTTCTATCGCCGCCCACTCTTCGTCGTCTTCTTCGTCATCGGCATCCTCTCCACTGATGTCTTCTCTCCTTCTCGAGACCTTCTCGAAGCGGTCCAAGCGAGCACCCGCACCGAGAATGACACCATCTCCAATCAGACACCCCGTCTTAATGGTGCTACCCTCTCCGATGCGTGCGCTGGAACCAATGATACTGGCCTCGACGTGAGCACCCGCGCCTACATGCGTGTCATCGAAGATGTACGCTCCATGCAGTACCGCACCGGGGCCGATCACACAACGCTGGCCGATCACGCTGGCCGAGACGGACGCATTGTCTGAGACGCTTGTATGTGCACCGATGAGCGTATTTGATCCAATTTTACAAGTGCTGTAGCACATGCGGGGGTCAGCGGGCAGAGGATATATGGGCTACCAATGCAGACGTACCGGGACAGTACAACGGAGTTGTCTTTTGCAATATATTTGTTTCCGCGGAGGTGTTCGTATGAGTGATCGCCCGGGTGATTGTTATCCGGTACCAGTGGGAACGACCATCTCGACAGAATGTCCTTGCTGTAACCCGAATATGAGTGGGCTCCAAAATCGCACCAGAATACACTCAGTCGGCGTACCTGACCGCATCATAGCTCCTGGTGTCCGCTACGCGCGCGGCATAGCCCTCTTTCGCGATGTAGCAGTGGATGTTCTTCATGAGCAGGTCGGACGTAAGGACACCATAAACAAAGTCCCGCCGAATATCTGCATAATCAAAGTTGTCCTGGAATAATGACGGGACCTAAGATGCACGCTCAATTCAGCCCGAGCTCGTGTGCAGGAAAGTAGAACATACGCGCCTCGACAGAGCAGATGTCAATCGAGCAGTCTATCAGGTCATTGCGGATCTCCACCTCCGGGTGCTCCGCAAGTATCTCCCTCGGTATGTGGGCATGGGTATTATGTGGGTACCCAATTACAGGCTCGTAATGCAGACACTCCGACGTCGCCGCATCGAGCACGAATACCCCCGATTCGCCTCTCGACCTGCCCGCCATCGCTCAGCTCACGTATCGAAACCAGAAGTCGGACACAAAGAACGCACCTCGTGCGGTGCTGCGCGCCGCTCTCCTTTACGACCATCGTCATGATCGCGTCCTTGTTCGTGCGGCGGCGCTCCTTGTGTGCGCGCACGACCTCGTCGATGCGGATATTGCTCACAAGATCGCCCGTGACGAGGACAAAATCCGACGTGATGATCCCGTGCGTGTATATGTCCCGCATCGCGTCGCCCGGCGAGAACGTCTCCTTCGCGGTCACGATCGGCACGATCTTCAGGCCCGAGCTCGCCTTCGACCACTTTGATTCCCTGCCCGAGTGGCGACGTGAGCATATCGCGGAGAGGACAGAAGCCAGAGCAGAGAACACCGCGCACCGGATGGCAGCCTTGACGAGGTCCGCATACGACCTGCATATCACAAAAATCTCCTGCACGCCCGCGAGCGCTAGGCTCTCGAACGTCCAGTCGAGCAGCGTCGCGTTGCATATAGGCAGCAGGCACTAGAATAACAGGTCTCGAAAATCTCAGTCCCGGAGTCGAGTTATCGGCTTTACACTAGCACCATGCTGCACTCACCCTGGGCTTACCCACTGTAAGCGGGCGAAAGCGTCGGTTGAAACTATCGGCAAGGATAACTGCCTGCAGGACCTCATCTTCGTTGGTGAGATCTTTCTCTTTTCCTGTGGATGTTTTCGGCGGCATGGTAAGTGACTAACGGCGAGTTAGAAATGAAAGTGGCTATTGTCGACTTCGAGGCACACTGAAGTGACTCGGTAGGTCACATGCGCATACATTGTATTGCCTTTCAGCTTCAACCTCAAGAACCCACCGACCGCAGTGAACGCTGTCCAACGCGAGCAGCAGGAGCATACACTGTTGCACACATTGAAGTACCATCACACAGGTGCAAAACCCACCAAGTTTGCAGATTTTCATACTTGAGTAGTGCATAAAATGAGCCCATAAGTGCTACAACATAAAGGAGCACTTGGTGTCAAGATTTGAGGGAGCAACTGCGATTCCGAAAACAAGTTCAGAACCCCACACATGATAGTATTTGAACTTTGAGCAACGTATGTCGATAACGCTCAGACCGGTCAACCTACGAGGCGATAGTAGCCCATCCCGATAAGCGACGGCACACTCTGATGTTTATCACACATCCTTTCGGAGACGAGATGAGGCATGCTGCATTGTC